ATATCAGCATTTAGACGATAAAATTTTGTTTTCGGCAAGGTTGGTGTCTTTCATCATCAAGCTTTTTTTTGGAGATACCTGGAGGTATTACGACTAGACATAGGCAGTGGAATAAAAATGTAATCCTGTTAATTTATAGATTAAATGAAGGATCGAATGATGATGAGGAATAGGATTTTTGGTGGATCAACTGAAAAATTAATGAAAATGAATGATTTTGAATCTCATTAGCTGGTTAGTGTAGACCAGCCTCAACTCATTTCCTCCTTTTTTGACCTTGTACCACAATTGCTATATTTATGCAGAAATAAGTAATGGAGTAGTGAGTTCGATCCTTAGAACCCCCCCCCCACATACCAATAATTTGTCATACAACTATACAACCTTAGAAAATCACCATAAAAAAAAAAAAAAAAAAAACATCACCAGCAGATGTACAAAGTCAGGAAATCAAAACTTATCAGGGCTGTTTTACCATCTGTCAAATGTGGAAAAGTTTGAGAAAATAAGCGATAAGGACCGAATTGAAAATTGGTCTCGCGAAAAAAAAAAAAATTAAATACTGGCATAAAATATAACAAATAATTACCCTTATAATATTCATGATAATATATATATGTGCGTATGTGGCAGATGAAAACTGCAAAAAATACCCGGTTCTTTAAAACTATGATAAAAAAAAACACTGAAAATGTGTAATACGTAGACATTAAAAAAAAAACGTTATCTAGCAACATTTATTAAATTAAAATAGACAAGGATTGGCAAATATAAATGTTAAAAGAATAAACTTAAGTATTTTTGAGGAATTACACATAGAATATTATAATTGAACAAATGCTGTGATTAAAATAAAATTTGTCTTCGTGAGGAAGACGAGTTTTGAACTGAAAACTGAATTATCTCCCTTGTTACTTAATATCTTTTGCTTTCCTTGTAAGTTTTTAGGAAGAGAAAAGTTAATGAATTTATTAAATGAGTGACAAGAAACAACTTCAGTTTTGAACAAGAGAACATTTTATAACTAAGTTGTCTAGTCGAAAAAAATGTATTCAGAAAATGAAACACGTAAAAGCCTTAAGCGGAGTTCCTTCAAAATAATGCTGCAACAAAATTTGTAATAAAAAATGTTTGTATTCAAACGACAAAAAAATTTAAGTGTAAAATATTAATAGTGAAATGCGACATGAAAAAGAATTTGAAGCGAGTACCAAGAAGCAAATAATTGGTAATAAAATTGAAATAAACCTCGTAAAAGAAATGTTTATTAAATTGCACTAAATGAAATTTATGGAAAAAGAAAGTTTCATAAAATCATAATAAATTTAATTCGTAGTCTTGGTGGATGTAGCAGTGTTACAATTCTTTAAAAATCATTTCAACCCACGCAAAACAAAGCCATTAATATTCAAGGGGTTACTGAGTGTGAAAGAATAAGAAAAACAAACTTTATTAAAGGGAGTGAACAGTTGAAAGAATAGGATTTGAGACAGAAAATAACGATTGACATTGCAAAAATATAAATGGAAAGAAAAAGAAATGAAAGTGTAATTTGCAAGCAAGAGGTTGTAGAGAATAATATTTACTATGTAACTTATAGTTACATCATTATTTTTCGACTGTAAAATGTTGAGACCTAATTGCCAATCTAGTACACGGTAGTGGTGATTTTCCAAGCATAGCTTGGATGTGGCACAAGGCCGAAAGCAAGAGGCACCCAGTGAGGATCGAACTCACTACTTAGTCGTAATTGTTCTAACGAGACAAGCTTGGTAACCATTACGCCACCTCGAGGTGCTCAGGTAATGAAGTAGTATGTATATCTAGTGAGGAATACTATCAAAAGCGGTTTCAACAAGACAAAAATGAAAGCAAATACAACACGTTCCATAAAATAATAAAATTCTATGTTAGAAAAAAAAATACCCCTTTCGTTAACAATGTTGGGACGCATTAAAATGTCAACTATAGAGTAATGTTAGATATAAGATAGTTGTCGGGTTGTATTGCAGATAAAATCTCAATTTATATCCGATGGGTTTAATCATATTAATGATACATTAACACAGGCTCTAATTTGGGACCAGAAAATCTCTTTATATCCGGGTTACACTGTACCAAGTTATGTTTTTGAGAATGGCGTCAACTACTGTTCTTGAACAAATGCAAAAGGAAGGAAAATGGAAAAAAAATTTATTTTTTGAAATCAGGACTTTTAAAAGGCACCCTTCAGCTACTGCTGTTATTTTTATCTCCTCTATAGCCATGGAATGCTGTTAACGTGTCTTTAAACTTACTCTTGTAATTATTTTTTTAGACATTTCAAAACACAAAAAGGACCTGCAAAAAAAATCAAAACTTTTTATTGAAAAGTGAAAAAGTGTTTCAGAAACAGGAATAGTTTTAAATATCTAAAATCACGCATTTTATTATATTTCACGGATTCCAAGCTTTCTACCAAAAAAATTTTGTATATTATTTGGGTTGTAAATTAATTAAACTGTCAGCATTCATGTAAATTGGCATTAAAGCATATCAAAAATAAAGACTTAAGAGAAAAACGGACACCTGAAATGGCGAGACTACAATGTCATTTTAAATGAGACGAATACAGAGATTTTTAGTAAATTTAAATGATTAAAAGGAACAGGCCTTCTTTGTAATGGTAGTGACCAATGTCAATGGATAGAACATTAATTTAAAAATAAAAATAAAAATGTTTTTCTCAGGAGATTGCAGCTTAACATTAGTCATTTGGATTTGATTGTAAGATAGATTTTATTTCTAGAAATTTCTTTAAAAAATCCAATTTTACAATCGGGTTCCCCGACATAAGTGCAATCTGTACAAAATTCAACATAGGAATAAGAAAAGTTACCTACATCATTTTACCTAAAAAATTTTCTTTTTTCTTTCTTTCTTTCTTTCTTCATATATATTACGAATATTTATTTTATAATTTTATATTATTAATTCAGTAAGCAATCCCTCTTTTATACAAGTTTCATTAAGACTACTGACAAGGTACTGCGATTAAGTTTTTTTTTAATTTCTCTTGTGTTTTCTATTCTGGAACTATCGTGTGTGTTAAAAAAAAGTCTAAAATGTTTTGTATATCCGAGCGCTTTCGACTATTAGCCATTATCAAGGACGATTTTTATTTATTTGTTTTGTAAATGAATATATGAATTTTTTTACACTATGTCCAGAAAAGAAAACATTTATATGAACACCAGAAAAATTAAATAAAGCTCCTAATCGCAGTACCTTGTCAGTCGTCTTTAATGAAACTAATTTTAGGATCATTTCCAACTTACTCTCTAGACTGTCCCGTGTTCCTAAAATTTAAATGCGATGTCAATCATCATTTTATGTCCCTTTGAAACACGCCATTTTTATTGTAGATTTTTCTTTCTCTTTCAGTAAAATTGTCGTCTTAGCGGTTGAATGATTCTAAAATTTTGGGATGAAATGACGAAAAAAATGTATTACGGGGAGTGTGTTCAAAATATTTTAAAACTCAAGCTCTGAATTTTATGTGTGTGTAATTTTTATGCGTTATACACAATGTGCAGGTGAGGTTGCTTTAAAATATCTGCTTTTATAAATTTACTGTTATTCATGCCTAGTGGGCCCGTATAAAATAGTAAAGTTTCTAGCAGAACACAATGAACTAGTTTTTGTTGATGTATCGTATTTTTGTTTGTTTTTTTTTTGTTTTTGTTTTTTTTAAATTACTACTACAATTTTTCCCTAAATAGGAAATGAATTTTCAGGAAAGATTAGCGTTTTTATTCAATCTCTATAAACATTAATATCGAAACAAACTCAAACACTGAATAATATTTCTTTTATTTGTTTGACTAGAGCATGAATACCTCAAATGAATGTTTGCTGTCGTTTTGAACTTACGGGTACTTTGAGTAAATAAAATTAAGTTCAAATTGTCAGGAATTATTTTATTTACAGGGATTTATGTGAAAAACGCAGATGATATGCTTTCTTTCTCCGTTGAATTTTTATAAAATGCCTTTTTGTACAGGGCGACCAGTAACCAAATTTAAGGCAGAGTGTCTCTAGTAGTAGTAGCACTCATTTTTCTGTTCGTAAAGTTGGCCAAAAGTTAATCAAATGTGTTCATGCGCGCATATTTATTTCGAAGAAAAAAGAAAATCTAAACATTTTTCTTTTGCATTGAAGTTCTATATGTATTTTTTTTTAAATTACGAATGAATAAAAATATCAAAAAATTCATTTTCTCTAACGAAAGAGATAAAAAGAAAGATAACGTAATTATTTCATTTGAAAAAGAATCTTTAAATGTGAAAATTTAAGCGAAATTAATTTATAAAAAATAGTTGTGAACAAATAATGTTGAAAAATTTATAAACCAATACTAGATGGATAGATTTTTTATGTTATAAAAAATTATTTCTGTCGTAAAAAAAAAAAAAAACTTATTTTAAAACTCGACAACAATTTTTATTGCTCTTTTGAGAAAAATCAATGAAATCATCCGAAACTTTTAGTATTTCTCTGAACTTTTCTCCTACGAAAACTCATTCCCTTTCCTTCACATCAGAACAACAAATTAAAAAGGAAAAAGAAAAAAAACCGTATCGCATGAGATGCGCTATAGATAAACAGGCAACAAAAACTCCTGCTTTCTTCCCGAAGAATCTTTCAACGTCTACAGAAGATTGTGATAAAGAATTTGGAGAAGTCTATTTTTATTTACTCCATTCTTTTGGCTCATGACTTTTTCTTTCTTTTTTTTTCACTGAGTACTTATTTACCAGACCATACCATTGCATTGTAGGGGAGAAAGGCTGGTTGCATTACCTTATAAGTGACTGTCTGCTGGGTAGGAAAGATTAGCAGTTTCACAGCTTGTCTGAGGAACGTCTATGCCCCCCACCCCCCTCCGCAATTAGACAAGAAGACGATATTGATGACATCTTGTCGTAGTTTGTATTTTTTACACCTGAAAACTTTCTGAGGTATCCAGTGTAACAAAAAAAAAGAAATCCCTACAATTCATTTTACAGGTAAGTTTACTTTTTTTTTTCTCCACAATTTATTGAAGACCATTTCATTTGAGGGTCAGTGAAAAATTCTGTGACTCAGAAATGTGAAAAAAGCTATTATATACGTAGTTTTTAAGTAATTTGTTAATTTTTCTCGAATTTCTTCACTGTGCTGTTAGTGTTAGGCGTTGTCACATTTTCTGTATTTTACAGAAATAAATATTCTTTACTGTGCTGTGGGTGATGTGATATCTTTAATCAAACTTATTTGACATTTTTCTATACTTATCTCACAAAAGTGAGTTTACTGATTATTTCTGCTAATTAGTTTCTTAAATGGCAAAATCTTTGGTTTACATTTAAAAATTAATTCGATAAACCATTTCCTGTAAGTAAACTTCTACTCTACATTTACCAATTTTTTTGTTCTTTTAGAGAAACTTTACTTTCAACAATACTTTCGTTAACAGCTGACTGACGGCGCTAAAAATCTAACAGTCAAATTCATTGGTTGATAGACTACTAGAAGCCAAGGACTAACAAGTAGGGAAAGAACTAAGGGATTACTACAACGCATCTATACCATTTGTTTGGTGAAGTCGTTTTTAACGTTTATAAAGAAATCTGTTTTTTTAATGTTACAAGTGTCGATGTCTCTTTATCGAAGATAATGAATTTTCTTTTAGTGTAGCTTGGATTCTTCAAAAGACAAAATATGTTCACAAAATTCTTGTAAAATAACTATCTCCTGACATTTCACAATTTAGAAACATGATCCCCCCCCTTATCGTATTTAAGATTTAACTTTTTCTGGGGGTGGCATTTTGTTCCTTTACAAACGAGCTGATCTTTTAAGCTAGCTAGCTAAAGAACCATGGCTCTTTAATGCAGGAATACATAGGCTGTCAAGCAGTCAGTTAAAGTCCCTACTTCATTTGTATTAAGTGGATGATTGGATTAAATGCGGACATGATTAGATTTTGGCCAACATCGCCTCATCTTTAGTTTTTATTCCATGCCTTAACGTTTCAAGCGACTAAACATTTTTCTTACATTGATGGGTTCTAAATGACGTTAAATCAGGATCCTAAAGTTATTAGAGAAATAACACAATTATGGTTCAACAAAAACTATAGACTTCCTAAAACTGATCATAAACATGTGCCGGTGGTCTCTACTGATATTTACTGAATAGCGCAAAACATTCCCGTGATGCACTAACTTTCTCTTTATTGAAGTCCTGTAACCAACCTGTTGGTCAAAATGTTCTTCAAAATATAGGTACTTCCAAAAATTCACTAAAAATGTATACACGAAAAAAAAAAAAAAATCCCCACCCCCAAATGACATCTTTGTCAAAATAAAGTCTATAAGAGAAAAGATTATTATTTTAGAAAAGACTTTGCTTTGAACAGAATAGATTGTCTTAAGAAAAATTTTCGATTAATGAATTTTTACAAGAATTATTTTATAGCGTAATTTATAAATTTATTTTTCTGTGTTTGGTTAAGTGATAGTCATTAAATTAACTGTATTTACTAATCTTAAACGGAAAAAACACATTAGATTGCTTAAAATATTTAAAATTAAGATTGCTAGATGGTTTTTAAGGGGTATTGATTGAGGTATGTAATTTCTTTTCTAGTTCTGTCCCCTTAGATTCCCCAAAATAACGCTATCCAGTCGTTCAAAGTTGGGTACCTCCACTCTTTCCCTGAAATTAAAATTAATAAAAACAAATTTTTATCGTTAAAATGTTAAGAGGAAGGACGAAAAGTATTTTTTGATTTTAATTTTTTTTAATCCCTTCTAGCACATTCGAAATTGTTTTAATTTATTTATTTTTTTTTTTTTTCGTCAGCGATCGAGTTAATATTTACGATTATTGTTTTAGCGCCATTTTTTATTAATTCTCCCCACCACCGTGAAAATACATTGACTTGAAAATTCTTTCAAAAATCAAATAGTCTGATTTTAATGACTTTCAGGACTTATTCGCAAATGGATGAAATTATTTTTGAATTTTATTTTACATATGCTAACCCCCTCCACACACACACACACACACACACACACACACACACACACACACGTACGTAATTTCATGAAATTTCGAGAAATTAAATTTTCATCCGAGAATTCTTTTCAGTAGTTAAAAGCAGGATTTCTTGGAGAATGTAAATCATTTTTTTATTTTATAATAATTTATAAAATTCTGCATTCCTTTCAGGTGATATAGTTATTAAGTGAAAACAGAAAACTATATTTACATATCAAAAATTGAAAAGTTTAATACAAATTATTTTGCACAAAGATTTTTAAAATAATTTTTATGTATATAAAATATTATGTAACGTGTACATTTTTTTTTTTTTTTTTTTTTTTTTAAGTATGGTCGACCATACACGATATTCTCAGAAAATAAGATCGATGACTATAGTAAATTTAAAGTCAACATTCCTAAAATTAGATTACGGAGAATATTTTCCCAAATTTTAAAGATTACTGAGTACTTAAAAATTATGAGAAAAGACGCACTCATAATTTTCTTAAATTGTTTTACAGATAAATTCTCCGTAGAAGAACAATCATTATGTCAAGGCATCTCATCGCTTCGTCAATTACGTAAAACATGGCGATGTCTGTTAAAAACACAGCTACTGTTATTTAAAAATATTTTGTTATTTTAAACTCAAAGTAGTTTTTTTTTTTTTTCAAATAAGATTAATTATACTTTAAATCAGCTGATATTCCGCAAAGTTTGAGAAAAGTATATTTTATTTTTGGAAGATTTTTAATATCGAATTACATTGCTATGAAGACGGCTAAATTATAAAAAAAAATTCGATTCCAATCAATATCATTTCTGTTTGAAATACACCAGAGTATTTTGCTTACTGGAAATAGAGAATTTAATCCTTTAGCTTTCAATTAAAGCTAAAATGAAAGCTTCAAGAAGGATTTTTCAATTATAAAAATACATTTAAAAGCAAAGGTATCGAAAATTAGTCGAGGTACCCAACGTTAACGGTCTAAAAAATAAAATGCTTTTTATGGGGCATTTTAACCTAAAAACATTGTTTCAATTCAGATTAAACCTTGTCAGTTATTTTTTTCCTCAAATGTTTCAGAAAAGCATCTTATTTTTGAAAGTTTGTATTGACACATTTATCAATATGGACTATTTTATAGATTATACTATAAAAAAAAACTATTGTAATCCATTTTTAAATTCTGTTTGAAATACAGAAGTATTTTCCTTGTTGGAAATATTAAGTTTAGTCTATTAGCTTGGAATAAAAATTCAAATTAAAGCTTCAAGAAAGGTTTTTTTTTTTTTTTTTTTTTTTTTAATTTTAGATTTAGGCATCACTTTTACTTTTTTCGTTTGAAGTTGCCTATTTAAATATAGGTTATGTTTCTCCAGATAGTTCCTTCATTTCCTTTTTAATGCAACATACTTGGTTGCAACTGTATAGAAAGTGTTCATACTTCGAAAATACACACACGTACTCAAACATCTGTACATATCCAAACTTTTTTTTACCCATGTATTTCTCTAGACTCTTTTTCACTTAATTGTAGCCATTGTTATTAAATTATATTCAAATTTGACGATGTTTTATTCCTCTTTTCGGTCATGCAAAGATTCATTGACCCTTCCTCTCTCCTGAAAAAAATCACTTTTTGCTTTTCCCCTAAAGTGGTAGCAATAAACACTTTCACTCAGCCATCAAAACAAGGACTACCATAATTAGTAGTAACCCATGTAATAAAACTTATAGGTACCGCCACGCGTGTGAGTTTAACTCCTTTCTGGAGTTTAACTCCTTTTTTAATTGCAAAGAAATAGTAACTTTAGAAAAAATGTGCAACATGTGTAAAAATGGAAATACTTAAATTTCCCGCCATTATTTATGTCGGCAATTAAATACGCCAAGTATTATTCAAAACAGTACTTGTCATGAAGTTATTTTGATGATTATCTTTGTTCATGTATTTAATATTACATTATCGCTAATAATACAGAGCAAAATGCGTTTGACAGTTGTAAAATATATTTTGACAGTTTCACAAGTAACAAGCGTCTGCCGTCTATTTCCGAGCTAGTGTGCGAAATAGCTTTTTTTAATTTCTTTAATAACAAAAAGCTTTTTAGTTACTGCTAAAAAAAATGAATGTGCAAATAAAGTATCTACTGATTTAAAAAAAAAAAAAAAAATTAAAATCTCGTAATTATCCTTTCATTGTAATTTTCAGCATTTTTTTTTAATAGTGAATTTTATATTTAATCTGGTTTTACATTTTGTGGACTTATTTTTTCAGATAAGTTACTTCCATCCATCCACACACACACACACACACGCACACTTTTAAGTCGCTGCTAATTCGTACTTATGAATTTCGAATTTTAAAAATATCAAGCACATCAAACATTTTTTTTTATTTTTATTAAGCGTTTCACCCCAAGCAAGGCGGGAAGCCACTAGGACGCAAGGGGTTACAGAAAATTTAGAACAAGATCAGATAGAAGTGATAGAAGAAAGGATGAGGAGAAGGATAGTGGATAGATCAAGGCAACTGGAGATGTCGATTGACATTACATTTTAGCTCTCAGGGAAACTAGATTAGGGAAGGGAGTTCCACAGGCGAGAGGTGCGAGACATGAAGCTACTGGAGTAGAAGAGACAGCTACATTTAGGAGTTTCAACAGTGAAGGGGTGAGAGCGGGATGCCAGCCTCGTCGGGCTGGACTCATGAAGTCTGGGAACCAGCGAATGCAGCTCCTCGGAGCAATTGCCATGAAAGTATTTGTAAAACAGACATAGAGAGGCGACGACGCGTCTGTGAGAAAGTCTGTAGACGAGATGCCAGATCAGAGCCAATTATATTGCATATCCGCCTCTGGAGCCTATCAAGAACCCCAAGGCAAACAGAAGGGACTCTAGACCATATATGGCAGCAATACTCCATGCAAGGGCGAATTGTTGATTTGTAGATCTGGAGGATCGATTCCGGGG